TATTTAGGATAATAAAGAAATGCAAGTTAACAGTCACTTATAACAGTCAAACTTGTAGTCATATTAGGCATGTTTTCAAGGTCAAATAGAGATATATTTTAGATAGACAGGTGGTCTTCAAACACTTCAGAGATTTACAGAATATGGTATTTAAGATGTTTAATAACTTCAGTCTTTCATGACAATGAGACCCGTCTACTCCTGGCAGCACCAACTTACTTAAAAGAAGATGATGATGGACATCGAAGAAACACCATATGGAGTTTGCTTTCAATGTGGCAAAAATAGCCACTGGGTAAAGAAACTACTCTTGCTTCAACTGCTGACAGTATGCTGTACAAACTAGACAAGCAGGACACAAAGGACAAAGGCTGCCAAACTTCGCCAAGATAGGGCAGGACAGTCCTTCAAAATTCCTGTTTCATGGAAAGGTCTGCCAGACATTCTGCAGGATACACAGGAAGGTGACTGCTGAACTTTTCCAGGTTTAGGCAGGACAGTCCTTCAAAATTCCTGCTTTGTAGAAAAGTCTGTTGGATATTGTAGGTCTGTAGGCCAAAGATGGATGCCCCAACCTTACCTTGGGTGACTGTCCAGGTCCAGGCAACCTCCTGTTTCTGTCATTTCTTTTAGTTTTGGAAGTTGTGTGCTATGCACTTCCTTTTTACTAAGGTAATATTATATCCTTCTGGGGTCTTTGATGGAGTTGAAGACTAGATAGTCATAGTTGTAGTTTTCCTTAGTTATGATAGAAGGTAAATTAGGTACAGAGCTTTGGACTCATGAAGATAAAATAAATAATGGAGTATTTTCTCCAAATATGCCAAATACAAATGAACTGGATGCTGTAAATATAATTCTTATGTGATAATTGTTCTTGTTTATAGTTTTATTATATTAGAGTTAAAACCTTTCCTTTTTATTTAGACAAAAAGGGAAATGTTGTGGAATAATCTTTTTGTACACTGTGAAGATTTGTCACTTAGATTGGCTTAAAAAAAAAGCTGAACAGCCAATAGGTAGGCAGGATTTTGGGTGAAGAAAGGACACTGGGAGAAGAAGGACAGAGACACAGAGAGTCGCCAGCCAGAGATGGAGGAAGCAGGATGGTAGCATGGGCAGTACGGAGTAAAGGTAATAAAGCCATGAGGGTCAAGAAAAAAAAATTAAAAACTTTTTAAAATTGAATGAAGATGAAAATACAATATACCCAAACTTATATGCCACAATGAAGGTGGTTCTAAGAGGCAAGTTCATAGCACTAAGTACCTAAGAAATAAATTGGAAGACATTTCATATTAATAGCTTAATAGCACAAATGAAAGCTCTAGAGTAAAAAGAAGAAATAAGTTCCAAAAGGAGAAGTTGGCTATAAATAATCAAACTCAGGGTTGAACTCAATAAAACAGAAACAGACCAAATTACAAATAATCAAGAGAACAAAGAATTTGTTCTTAGGAAAATCGGTAAGATTAACAAATCCTTAGCCAACTAACTAAAAGGCAATGAAAGAAGATCCAAATTAGCAATGCCCCATGCCCAGCAGTAGATGGCCAACACAAAACAAACACAATGGCACTTCCGGAGGAACCTAAGTCTCATAATGGTTTGTCAGGGCATTTTTTTTTAACCTTACAGGTCCTTTGAGTAAATATTATGTGTTTTCTGTTGTTATGGGATTCCTGTGTGTGTGAATGTGCATGTGTCTACATTTATATGTCTTTCATGTGCTTTTTGATTTAGCTCCTTTTCTTCTGTTTTTCCTCCATTGCAATTTGTTTTTGTTTTATCTTATTTTATCTATTGTTATTCTTTAGATGCCTATTTGTTTTCTAAGAGAGATAGAAGGGGTGTAGATATGAGTAGGAGAGTAGGTGGGGAGGAATTTGGATGAGTTGGGGAAGGGGGCACTAATCATAATATATTGTATGAAAAAACTATTTTCTATATAATAGAAAAATAGTATCTAGTTATTTATATATAGTGCTCCAACCTGAAGCTGACTGTAGGTTTCCTTGAAGGTAAAGACTTTAGTAGTCCTTTAGTTGGTAAAATTTGTTATAATTTTTTTGTCTCTTAAGATGATTTATGAACTAGCTGCTCAATTTTTAATAATACATAGGCTTCAGAGATACATAGAAATCTACTTTAAATTATAATTATTTTACTCTATTATTAAGTAGCATAATAGCTACATTAGAACAATTTTATATAATAAAATTGTTTAAAATTTTGCTGGGTATGGTGGCATATGACTTTAATGCCAGCATTTGAGTGTCAGAAGCAGGCAGATCTCTGTGGTTCAATGCCAGGGCTACACATGAAATCTTGTTGCTGTGGAATAATGTTCTTGTACACTGGTTTAATAAAATGCTGATTGGCCAGTAGCTAGAGCAGATGAGGAGAATTCTGGGAAGAGGAAGGACTGAATCAGGAGTCACCAGCCAGACACAGAGGAAGCAAGATGTCAAGGCAGAACTGAGAAAAGGTACCAAGCCACGTGGCTAGATATAGATAAGTATTATGGGTTAATTTAAGTGTAAGAGCTAGTTAGTAATAAGCCTGAGCTAATGGCTGAGAAGTTGTAAATAATATAAGCCCCTGGGTGTTTATTTGGGTCTGAGTGGCTGTGGGACAGGGTGGGACCAGAGAAACCTTCTGACTGTACCTTGTCTCTAAATAAATAAGTACTTTTTGATAAGTTACTTGAAGAGTCCAATTTTCCCATAATTTCTATCATTAATGTGATTCCTCCATCAGCACCTCCTCATCATATACCTCATTTAATCCTAAAGACTGGTATTAGTAAGAGTGACATGCTTGTCAACCAATGAAGAAAGACATAAAGGCTCTTCTAATAGATGTGGACAAGGCACAAGTTGGGTGCTCCGAAGGCAGCTCTCACAGGACTCCCTTTCCTGTTAACACTGCAATGTGAGCTAACAGCACACTGTTGTCCCTGTCTTCACCACAACAATTTCCTTGAGTTTCATGGCTACAGCAAACATCAGGCCTCTGCAGCCTGGTGGATGACAATACCACCTGGTAGGTTTGTGTAGCTTCTCCAGAATCTACAGGACAAGATAGGCGGTGGGTGGGTATCTTTTGTTTCTTTAGTACTGGAGGTAGAGCCCAGATCCTCACATATGTACTCATATGAACTACACCTCTAGCTCCAAGTTTTTGGCCTTCCTCCCAAAGGCCTTGTACTTTGTTCTCCTTCGTCTGTTCCTGGCAGGCAAGCAAAGCCCTGCATTTTGCCCTGATGCTAACTCTCTATGGTTTTGAATCCATTGCTTCCCACCAATATATGTCATGCTGATTTTCTTTTTCTTTTTCTAAGACTGGGCCTCAATGTGTAGCCCTGGCTGGCCTGAATGTCACAATGTAGATCAGGCTTGTCTCTTCCCCACAGAGATCTGCCTGCCTGTCTCCTGAATATTAAGATTGAAGGCACCAGTCACCATGCTGAGCAGTTAAGTTCTTCTTTACTATGTGCTTTTTGTCTCCCCTTTATTTACCCCTTTTAATGTTCTCATACCCCTCAGAGAATCTGCATTTAAACAAAACAACAAAAACTTCCATTTGACCCTGTTTCTTTTCCACAAAATTTCTTGAAATAGTCTATTTCACGTTTTTATTATTGTGTGTGCATGCAAGTGCCATAGCACCCATGTGGAGATCAAAGGAAAACCTTCTGGAGCTGGTTGTCTCCTACCATGGGCTCTTTGGATGGAACTAAGGTGGCTTCCTGTTAATCCACAACTCACCTAGCCCTTTCTCACTATCTCAGTATAAACAACCTTTCAAAAGAGCACCGTTGGCCTTAGACAAATGCAAAAAGGAAGTACAATGAGAGGTGGTGTGGGAGATAAGTACAGGCTGACTTTGTTGAACCTCCAAGCAGGGCACAGCACATGGCATATAACAGGTAGGCAGTAAGGGAAGATGATTGCAGATGGATTGATGGAAGATCATGCCTACCTCCTCTTTCCCACTTTCCTCTCTTCATTCATTTGAGGTACTTTTCTCCTTGGGGGTGGGAAGTGTACTGTAGTGAGATTTACAATCATCTGTGGAATGAACAAAAGTTCCATGACAGGGACAGATCACTGATAGCAGACAGGTTGGGAGCAAAGGCCCTGTCCTCCATAGAGAGGTGGCCTCAGGCCTCAGCCTGGTCCAGGTCCCTTCATGGGAAAAGGAGATTGCAGCCTTAGCCCAGAACTTAGCCTTCTTAGCCCTGTGGCGCTAGGGTGGCTTGCCCTTGTGGCCTTTGTCCTCGGATTTAATCATTTACATAATACATAATACAGAACTCCAGGCGGGCCTGGGCACCCAGAACCCAGCCCAGCAGAGCCAGCGCCCCAGCTGCTGCCTCCCTTGGCAGCTCCCCCACCACCTCTACTGTGCCGGGGTTCCCGCAGCAAGCGCGCTGGCCGGAACTGCGCTGCTGTGTCCCAGCGTTGAGCTTTCCCTAAGCGCGGCAGCGCTTTACCTAAGGCCATAACAGTTGGATGAGTGACACGAAACTGGGACCCTGACATCAAGGAAACTTGGCATAACTCTTGTTTTGCTAGACGACGTTGGGGTTTCTTGATGACCGTTGAAAGGCGCGCGCTCAACGGGCCCTGGAGCCTTGGAGCGTCCTGAACTGTAGGGTTCCGATCTTTCGCGCTGGGGGTCTGGACGCACAGCGAGCAATTCCACTTCTCCGCGTGCCATCTGAGTGCACCTGGACTCTGTCTAAAACGACAGAGATCAATTTTGGTGGAGCCCGCAGGCATTCGCGGCGCAGGCACTTTTGAGATTACTAATTCTTTAGTAAGCCGCGGTACCAATACCTTTTAGAGCTGTTCTCACCTAGAAACCATACCGTGGTCGCTTCTCATCAGAAAGGAGCTCTATTTGCGATAGGTGCACAAACTTTCGCGCGACCACGCCTCTGGCCTTTCTTTTACGTGGGCTGTTTAAAGGTCTTGAGTGAGCAGAGTCCTCGAGGAGAAGAGTCAGGGTGCAGAACGCCCGCGCCCAATCCCTATTCTCTGGCCTGTGACCGCATTCGTCCCGCCCTCTGCACTTCTATAAGAGCGGCAGAGAGAGCGCACTGGGAGTACCGCTCCCAGGCGCGCTACTTCTCCCGCTCCTCAAGAGTCCGTACCACTGTCCCCAGGGCTGCCGGCTACCGGATACTAGTTCCTCCCCTTCTCGACCCCCAGCACGGGGTGGCTGAGCTAGGCGCTAGATCCTCTGCTGTCTTGTTCTCCGGGCCCTAGGCAATCCCCCCCGCAGTGTTGGTCCGCAGGTGAGCAGCGCTGCAGCGCCGCTGTCAGGCGAGCTCACCTTGCACAGCCCGGCAGCCAGCGCAAAACTTTGGTCCCTGCAGGATGAAGAACCCGATGTTGGAAGCGGTGTCACTCCTCCTGGAGAAGCTACTCCTCATCTCCAACTTCAAGCTCTTTAGCGTATGCACTCCCGGAGGAGGCACAGAGAGGAATCGGCCCTATGAAATCAGCTCTTTTCTCCGGGGCGATGTGCTGGAAGTGTCACGGACCCATTTTACCCACTATGGGATCTACCTCGGGGACAACCGTGTCGCCCATCTAATGCCCGACATCCTGTTGGCCCTGACCAAGGACAAGGGACGTACTCAGAAGGTGGTCTCCAACAAGCGTCTTATCCCGGGAGTCATTTGCAAGGTGGCCAGCATCCGTGTGGACACAGTAGAGGACTTTGCCTACGGAGCAGACATTCTCGTCAATCACCTTGACGAGACTCTCAAAAAGAAGTCATTGCTTAATGAGGAGGTGGCATGCAGGGCTGAGCAGCAGTTGGGGCTCACCCCTTATAGCCTACTGTGGAACAACTGCGAACACTTTGTGACCCACTGCAGATATGGCGCTCCGATCAGTCCACAGGCTGAGAAGGTAGGAGAGACATGCGGGGGTGGGGGTGGGGAGAAGGGTGGGGGGGCGGCTAGATCTGAGATCTTTTTGGGCATCTCCCCAACTACACCAGTTTTAGGAATTCTAGATTAAGGAAAGGTCCGGTGTTTCTAGGAGAGATCTGGTAAATAAATCACAGTGTGGCTTGCAGTAAGGATATCTCAAAATGTGAAGTAAAAGGGTGTGGCCACACGGGATGCTTCAGTGATTCCTCAGGGCTGCCTGTCACTGCTGCACAAGTCATCTTGGTCTGCACACAAGAGATAGTTCAAGTGATCAGGGGGAGGGGCTGAAAGACTGAGGTGCAATTGGCAGGAAGGTGTCCAGTTTTCTCCTCTTGTTAGATGCTTAATAGGCTCAAAATTCCTGGTAGGAGGACATTCTGTGTTTGACTCAGAGAATTTTTTTCCTTGGTGTTGTGACTTCTTCCTAGGTCACTTTAACTCCACTTCAAGTCTTCATTCATTGTTAAGCATCTCCTAGCTATTAGCTCCAAAGATACTCTGGATTTTAAATCCCCCAGAGATTAGTTAAAACAATTCATTTTCAGCATCCCTACAAATTGGAAGGTAATTTTATGGGTACTGTGGGGGAAAAAAAAACCACCAAACAAGTATTAGAAAATGATTGTTAAATAAGCTAGAAACCCAAAGGGGAAATAGATTATTTCCCAAAGAAACCACCCAACTCACAAATGATACTTAGTTTTTAATTCTGCACATTTATTAGCAATTGAATCCTTCTCAGCCTTGACTATAATTATTAGGGGAGTATTAATATTTGCTTTTCTTTATGGAATCCTGGGCAATCACACAATAAACTTTGGCATTATTTTTCACGTTTAGATGCTTTTTTTGGACTCTACACTCTACAGTCTAGATTAAATTGATCTGTATTTTAAGTAATTTTTGACACAGCAGAGAACAAAGCTATTTGCTTTTATATTGGTATTTTAAACTTCTTTTTGATTTTTAATTGAACCAGAATACTTATTTTAGGAATCATTTTTCTGTGGTAAATTAAAATACAATTAGAATACTGTGCAATGATTAAAGACTCTCTCCTCTAGTCTCCTCTAGTTTAGAAGTGAACTTCCCCACATTTACAAGCACTGGCTCCAAAAGTGTACCAAAGGAGATACGTTGGATTTAGTTAAAAGTAAGCCAATCATTACTGTAAGGAAAAAGTTTTCCTATTCAAATTGAGTTATCCTTTCATAGCATACATGTAGAACTGTTACATATTTCTACACAAAGGAGGTATAAGTACTTTGTACCAGTAATAAAATATTAATCACAAAGAGAATTAGTTGGGTAGTTTCTAATTTGGGGGAATGTTGGTATGTTTCACAACAGAGAAGAAATGTTTTAATTCATGGAGCTGTAGGGCCTCCAGTGAAACTGAGTTTCTGTGTTTTCCTTGAATGGCCTAACAAACAGTCCAGCCCCAGACTAGATTCCTGCAGGGGGGAAAAATTCTCACCCCAAATTCATAATTCTAAGAACAACAACTTCTCCTCCTCTTCTTCTATTTCTTCTTTATAAAAAGGAAATTAGTACTACATGATTTCTACTTCAAATTTTAATACTTCAAATTTTAAAGATTTTTACTTTGATTTTTTTTTGTTTGTTTTTTGGTTTTTTTCGAGACAGTTTCTCTGTGTAGCTTTGCACCTTTCCTGGAACTCACTTAGTAGCCCAGGCTGGCCTTGAACTCACAGAGATCCTCCTGGTTCTTCCTCCCGAGTGCTGGGATTAAAGGTGTGAGCCACCACCACCCAAGCCTTTCATGATTTTAATTACGTGTATGTGTGTGTGTGTGCATATGTGCACAAGTTCAAGTTTCCTTGAAGGCCAAAGACTCGAGATCCTGGGAGATGGAGTTAACAGGTAGTTGTGAGCTACCCAGTCACTGCTGGGAGGAGTTTGGGACCCCTGCAAGGGCGGCATGTGTTAAAGGCTGAGCCATCTCTCCAGCTTCATGGTTTCCACTTTCTAGAAACAAACTGTTATTTGCTTCTGGCTCTGACTGATGATGTTTTCATCTTCACAGCTATTGTATCTTACATAAGCCATCTCTTCTTAAACTTCAGTTATAAAAACTTTTCCAACACCTTCCCTCAGGTGAACACTTCTTGATGCTAACAGTGTACACTAGCAGGGCACTGAGGAGTCAGTGGGTACAGAGGTTCCCTGCTCAAACCTCATGTCTGAATCCACAGTGGAAGAAGGGAACCAACTTCCAAAGTTGTCCTCTTGAATACACACACATACCCTCTCTAATAAGTAAGTTTCTAATGCACTAAAAGAGAGCTTTTAAATCTTTGCAAGAATGCTTTTTTCTAAAAAAATTTATTGACAATGTCACACATGTGTACAATGCATTTTGACCACACACCTCCTCTATTATCCACCCCTCCCAGCTAACCCATGTCTACTTTACAAGTCCGCTCCTACTTTCTTTACTTTTTAATGTGTGTGACTCACAGAATTTAGTTAGTGTCTTGGTCAGTGTTCTGGTGATGGGAAGAGATACCGTGACCACAGCGGTTGCTTACAGTTTTAGAGGTTAGTTTGTTGTTATTGTGGTGGAGAGCATGGTGACACACAGGTAGACATGTTGCTGGAGAAGTAGCTGAGAGTTCTACATCCATATCTGAAGGCATAAGGAAGAGAGAGTCACTGGGTCTGGCTCGGGCTTTCAAAACCTCAAAGACCACCCTCAGTGACACACTTCCTCCAACATGGCCATGCCTCCTATTCTTTGTCATGTAGTGCCACTCCCTGACAACTAAGCATTCAAATATATGAGCCAATGAGGGACATTCTTATTCAAACCACCACAATAGTTAGGGTTGTTTGTATGAGCATGGGTGGGTGTTATTTACTGGAGTACAGGTAACTGATCAGTGAAATATCCTCTCCCATTAACTTGCTAGTGTCTCCTCAGAAAGGGGTAGGCCCTCCCAAGACCCTCTAAAACTTGCCTCTATTACATACAGGAATGTGTACGATTTGTGTGGATGCACGTGTATCTGTCTCCATCTCTGTGTGTCTGTCTCTCCCTTCCCCCCTCCTTCCTGTCCTTCCTTCTTTCCTCTTTTCCCTCACTTTCCTTCTCTTTTTTTCTCCCTCCTTATTTTCCCTCCCCCTATTCTCTGTCCACTGGGCCATCAGGCCAGGAAGCATCTCTAGAAAGGCAAAATTTCTAAGACTGGAAATATAACTGAGTTAGGTAATTGCCTAGAATGCAGGAAACACTAGGTTTGGTCCTCAGAACTGTATAAATTGGGTGACTGGGTGTGGTGAGGCATGCCTGTAGGAGGTAGAAATAGAAGGATCAGAAGATCAGAACTTCAAGGTCATCTGTCATCCTCTGCTAAGGCTGGAATCCTACAGGACTACTTCCATATCTGTGGTTGGTCCTTAACTGAGAAGTCTCTTGAGGTCCTTGACTGTATTAAACTGCTTATTGTATTCATTAATAATTTATAAATTACGTCAAGCACAGTGGTGCACACCTTTGACCTCAGCACTCTAGAGGCAGAGGCAGGAGGATCCCTATAGTTCAAGGCCCACCTCTTCTACATAGGAAGTCCCAGGCAACCAGGGATAACATGGTGAAAGTCTGTCTCAAATCAAGGAAAAAAAGAACATAAAAACAAGCCTGGAGAGATGGTTCAGCAGTTAAGAGTTCATACCACTCTTACAAAGGACTAAAGTTTGGTTCTCAACACCCACAACTGCCTGTAACTCTAGCTCCGGGTATAGATGTGTTTCTGAAGCTTCTAGACTCCATGGGTACCTGCACTGATGTGCACATGCCCACACACAGATACACACATACATATAATTAAAAATAATAACAATAAACATTAAAAAGTAAAGATTTTTGAAATCTTCCCAGCTCCATTAAGCCCTGGAGTTCTGGGTCAACTTGAGCAATACAGTAAGACCTCATCTCATATACAATGCCATACTCTAGAAAAGGATCCTGAGTCTGGTATGGACAGCAAAACTCCCATGACAATGACAGCTGTTAAATTCTAGCAATGACAATGGGACAGAGATCGCTGTCAAGAAATAGAGCAGTGATGACAATCACTGAAATAACTACATTTATATTGTACATAGAAGAATACCAACTATTCCTTTATATGAAAGACTTCATTTTCTTTATCTTCAGGGCTACCCTGGTACTCCCATGAAGAAGGAAGTCTGGAGTCTAGACCGGTTAAATGTCTTTTTTTTTTTTTTTGAGACAGGATTTCTCTTTACACTTTAAGTAATATAACTGGTATCATCAAATTTTAGGGTACTGAAGTAGAAGAATTGCCTAATTATTTTTTAACTCAAGGTTAGAAACTTCTTTCTTAGGTTAGTTTTAGAATATGCTAATTAGTATTAGTTTAATGTTGTCTTTAACCTTTAATGCTGTGTGACTTCTACGTGGCACATTCTATACTTTTCTGTAACACTGTATATTATCTCATAAATCCCAGGGAACATAAAGTATTCCTGGAAGACGACTTAGACTATGGGGTGAGTGCTTCCTTGCAGCCATGGTTGCTAACATTCTGAACTTTTGTTTTCCAGTTTCATGAGACTGTGAAGATAATCATTCGTGATCAGAGGAGTTCTCTTGCTTCAGCTGTCTTGGGACTAGTGTCCATTGTCTACATGGGCCTGGCATCATATATGACCTTTCCTGCAATCTGTATCCCATTCTGCTTGTGGATGATGTCTGACTAGATTCCAATCCCCATGTGAATGTGTATGGAGTTTGTGTGGGACTATGTTTATATTTAGAGAACACAAGACATTAGAAGCTTGTTGAGAAAACGTGGCATTCAACACTGTGTTCTAGATAAACAAAAGTGACTAAGAATCATACACAGTGCTTACCATGTAAGCCGAACAGAGCCTTTCCGTGTCCTCTCAGGCAGTTCCGCTGCAGCGCACCATGAGCCCTTGGAAGCACAGCAGCCTGTCAGGACTCAGCAGCCCCACAAAAGCAGCCCCTGAGGTGACATTCACAGGAGAGTATCTGGGTTATTCTTGTCCTCCTGTAATCATTATGCTGTTATCAACTGAGATCGCTAACTTTACTGTAACTGTATTCTGCTTATTGAATGACCGGTATTAAAGGGAACATTTTCCTTCATTTAGATGAAAACGTTTGATAATTAGCCACAAAGAAACCATGTCTCACATTCTGCCTTTCTTCATGTAATAATATAATATCAAGTCAGCTGAGAATATTATTTTCATGTTCTGAGATCAGTGTTGACAGAACTTACTGAAAGTAACTGGCTAAAAAGCACAGAAATATTTTCTTCTGCAGAAACAGTGACAGTAGCTATTTATATTCACTTTTTTTTTTTTTGGTTTTTCGAGACAGGGTTTCTCTGTGTAGCTTTGCGCCTTTCCTGGAACTCGCTTTGGAGACCAGGCTGGCCTCGAACTCACAGAGATCTGCCTGCCTCTGCCTCCCGAGTGCTGGGATTAAAGGCGTGCACCACCACCGCCCGGCTTTATATTCGCTTTTGAATAGTCTGATACTGTGTTTTTCTTCTCTTTTTTTTCATATGCCTGTATGACTACTTTAAAAAGGTAAATGGATGTAGGATTGAAGCAATTCCAGTATTTGGTGTACATACATACTAAATAAATACACCAATGGTGTACATACTAAATAACTACGCAAATATCTGCACACACATAGATTGATAGGTAAACTGTATTTCTGGTTACTTTATTATACTAGTATGATTATTAATGGGGATCTACAAAGGTGAACATAAAATCAAGTCCAGTGTTTTTTCCTCTGCCCTTAAACCTGTATATATGTCACTGGTTAGTTTGTTTTTTTAAAGCTAAATTTACTACTGTCCTTTTTCAAAACACCTGATTTGTTTTACTGTCAGTGTAAGTATAAGCACTGTAAGTGTAGTTTATGAACTTAGAGGTCTATCACAGCAGTCAGTATATATAGCCTATATAGGTAGAGCCAAAGGAAATTAATCTGATAAAATTAACAGTGCCAAGCATGGAAGATGATCTCACTGAATCCACTGGACCAGAGCAGTGTTAAAAACATGCCTTCAAGACTTTGGTAAATTCACTAAAAATGACACCACAGGTTGGAGTTGCATTTCAGGTTTTGGAACTGTTTTATCAGAGGTGGTACATGCCTAAATACCTGCATGTAGAAGGCTGAAGCAGCAGATGGAGAGCTCCAGGCCTGTATGGGCTGGAGGGCAATACTTGTCTGTGAAATGTCAAGAGTTACAGAACAGGCACCCAAGAGATGACTCAGCACTTGAGAGCTATTGCTGCTTTTGCAGAGGACCAGGGTTCAGTTGCCAGCAACTCCTGGTGGCTCACAATCTGTAACTCCAAGTCCTGAAGATACAACATCCTCTTCTGGCCTCCATGAGCATAGCACACACATGGTAAGCACACACATAGGCAAAGCACCCCCACACATAAATTAAAAATATAGCTTAAAAAAAAGGAATCACAAAATAACCAAGCATGGTGGCACATACTTTAATCCCAAGGCTTGAGATGTGGAGGCAGGAAGATTGGAGTTCAAGATCAGCCTGCTACACAGGGGGGTTTAAGACTTGCTTGCATCACACAGTGGGGCTCAAAACCAGCCTGCGCTACCTAGGGAGTTCTGGACCAATCCAGGCTACATGAGACCCAATCTTGAAACAACAAAGGAATCAAAAATGTTGATTCTTATGGTGGAAAGGAGGAATTGTTTTAGTCAGTGATCCACCTGGAACAAGACCGAAAAGTAGAATTTAGTTTAACTGAGGCTTTATTACCCTGAGTTTTCCTACAACAAATTCAGTTGGGGTATAATGATGATTAAACTTTGTTTAATATTCAGAATACTTACAAGTTTTATATTACTAAAACATTAAATGGCACAATCAAAGAATACAGGTGTTCTATGGACCTGTTCCAACACTTAAGTTACCTTAAGCATCTGTGCATGCTGACAGCCATTGTGTTTAGTGCCATTTCCCCTCATCTGCGAGTACTTAAGTGAACCTTTTTTCAGACAAGTATTGCAGAAAAGACTATTTGACATTAAATCTGTGTTCATAGACAGTGTTTCCTCTTTACATACTATCTAAGTTCTTTTGGAGCTGGGATTAACCTAAGTAATCTTGCCTCTCTTTATATCATTAGACCAAGACATTCATCGTTCATTGGATGCTCACTTTGTGCTAAGCATTCAAGTGCTGCAATTTCATGTTCTATTTTACTTTTTTTTTTTTCATTTTTTGAGACAGGGTCTTAGTAGACCAGATTTGCCTCCATTCACTCATATAGCCCTTAGGGTCTCTGCTTCCCAAGTGCTGGGATTAAAGGTGTGCTCCACAACTCCTGGCCTAATATCACTTTTTAGCCAGCTATAAAAGCCTGTATATAGTGTGGTGGGAATATAGAGAAGATCAAATAATTCTGCCTCAAGAGTAAGCATTTACTTGAAGAAGGCAATAACAAGCAGGAAGCTGAAAGACTGAGGTTATTTTGTTACAATGACATCATTCAACTGACCTTGGCAAGAGAGGGAAGGAGGGAAGAAAGGTTCTATTTGGTAAATGTTCCTCAGCAGGGGAACTGCTGAACTTGTAGGTAAGAGGGTGTCTCTTATATTGCTTCAGTTTGATTAGTTAGCTAACAAGGTAGAAAAATGCCAGTTAGGGAAGAAATCCTGAGCCAATCATTTCTTTCCTAACCCAAGGCAGGCAGGTCAAGAATTTCTCTAGACTTCATCAGTCAAGGCTCATCATTATGAGCCAAGTTCCTCATATCATAATATTTCTATTCTATCTTACAGCGATAGCCAAGTCATAGCTAATGAGCTTTTTCACTTCTTGTTTTTTTCTTTGCACAAACGAAGGCCAAATGGACTTACTGGATTTAAGATGAGTTAATGCAAGTGTCAGGGAGTATGTTGTGTATGGAATGAAAAGACAAGAGACATGGACTAAAATATACGGCCCAACAGTCATAGCTGCCCTGGAGTTTCAGTGATTGGTATCTGCACAGGGCTAACTGAAGGCACACAGAGAGAAGGGACTAATTTTAGCTGCTGAAACCAAAATCAGACAGCAGGTACTGAGACTTGAACGAGACAGATTTTGGACAGGACATTGCACACATGGATGGGAACAGCACAGGGAATGCATGGAAACAGCCTACAACATGCACCATGCACAGCTGTGAGGTATTCTATGTCAGGCAAATGCATATGCTAGGGGTTAGTAGAGCAAGGGAGCTGACTAGACATGTGGAAAGCAATGCTGAGATAGTGTAAATCTTTTGTAGACCAAGAAGTTTGGACTTTATGAACAGGCAGTGGAGAACTGGAGTATAGAAAGGTCATTTCCCAGAATAAAGAAGGTGAGGGTGGGATAAGGAGACCTGAGAGGTTTAGCTAAGATCTTCTGTTCTGTCAAATAAGGGCCTAGAGCAGAGGTTCTTAACCTTCATAATGCTGTGACTCTTTAATACAGATCTTCATGTTGTGGTAACCATAAAATTATATTTGTTGTTACTTCACAACTGTAATTTTGCTACTGTTATGAATTGTACTGAAAATATTTGATATGCACAATATCTGATATGTGACCCCTGTGAATGAGTTGCTTGGCCCCCCAAAGGGTTGTGACCCACAGGCTGAGAACCACTGGCCTAGATGGTGAGATGGCTCTGTGGGGAAGTGTACCTTCTGTAAAACCTGAGGACCTGAGTTCAAATAAGGGTCTGTAACTGCAAGGCTAGAAAGCAAATATGTCAAAGAAGTGCCAATCAACTTGAGCCACACCCTTAGACTTGGCTAATAAAAACTCTTGATCGAGTCTTAGGGTTATCATGTGTCCTTGCTTTTCCTGAGAAAGAACTGATTCCTGCAAAATAAATTAACTTGACTACTGTGTATATATTGGATACTCCTGATATTTGCTCTGCTAGGCATGCTCCTTTTTAATGACAAGCAAGGACGTATGGATTGGTTGTTTTAATTTTTGTCAGAACCTACTTCTTACTTTCCCATTTTCTATTTCATATTGTTCATGTCCAAGACCAGAAGCTGCTCTCCAGGAACATGTAATTACTATAATGGCGAAGTCTTTGTTATAGATAAGAAGTATATGGGCAGAGTCTTCATTTTATATGATTTAGCTGGGGTTTTTAGTTAAACTAACTTTACATTGATATACAAGTATTTTGAATAAAATCAATTCTACATATATCATTTTCTTGTCTTTCAATTTTAAATACCTAAGAGTAGACAGCAAATATTTTTGAACTCAGTAGCCTCAAGAATAAGCTAATTTATCATTTATTGAATGGAGTAGCTTCATATAGTCGAAATGAAGTTTATGTGGACCTGCCTGTAGACTGATATGATCTTTGTTACCCACATTTTTATGCCTACCTTAATTATGAGGAACTACACAGCAAATTCTTCATCCTCCTGACAAAATTAACAACAACAAATTATTGGAGCTATGCAACCAGATTTTTAATGCTACCAAAGTAACCTGCAGCTGTACTCTGTTAGTGAGTGAGATCAGAATGGGATCTGAAGTGTGTGTGTGTGTGTGTGTGTGTGTGTGTGTGTGTGTGTTGGCAAATGCCAGTCTTAAACACACTTACGCCGGGCAGTGGTGGCACACGCCTTTAATCCCAGCACTCGGGAGGCAGAGCCAGGTGGATCTCTGTGAGTTCAAGGCCAGCCTGGGCTACCAAGTGGGTTCCAGGAAAAGGCGCAAAGCTACGCAGAGAAACCCTGTCTCGAAAAATCAAAAAACAAAACAAAACAAAACAAAACAAAAACAAAACCCACTTACAGTCAAGGATAGAATTAGAATCTTAGTCCTATTGCTTTTGGATCTGATGAGAAAGAATGGCATGAAAACAAGTTTTAAAACACTAACTTTTTTTCTGCCTCCTGAGTGCCAGGGAAGGAGGATATTAAAGAATGTCGTTACTCAGAGTACTGACTAGGTGGCCTATCTGAATGTCTGCCCTGCTCTAGTCTGTGCTATCTTTGAGGACAGCCGGCTTATAGGCTGGAAGTCTCTCTTCATAGGTCTACAAACTCTGTCAGTCATCCAGACCCCACATCAAACTTCATTAT